GTAATTTTCCCACATCAGCTCATTTTCATAGGTTTGTTGTGATAATACCTTGGATGTAAATTTACAACTGGAAAATGGATCACTTTTTTAAAAAAAGATTCATTTATTTATTTGAAAGGCAGAGTTAGAGAGAGAGAGAGAGAGAGAGAGAGAGAGAGTGATCTTCCATCTGCTGGTTCACTCCTCAAATGGATTCAATAGTCAGGGCTGGGCCAGGCCAAAGCCAGGAGCCAGGAGCTTCATCTAGGTCTCTCACATGGGTAGCAGGAGCCCAGGCTTTGGGCTATCTTCCACTACTTTCCTAGGCACATTAGCAGGGAGCTGGATTGGAAGAGGAGCAGCTGAGACTTGAACAGGTGCCCATAGGGGATGCCAGGGCTGCAGGCAGTGGCTTAATCTACTGTGCCACAACACCGGCCCTGAAAAATAGCATCACTTTTAACCTAACATGGATAGAACCAATATATAAATCAATATGTGTAACATAATACTTTTGTCTAGCAGTATACTTCCCCTGACTACATAAATTAGAAACCTCACTTAAATTCACAAACTCAATTTTTCATCCATAAAATGGGCATGATAGTTGGTTATGTCAAAATTTTACCCAATTTTTGTGCTGGATCCTACAGCATTTAGTCTTCTAAAGAGGTTATTATAATAAGGTAAATAGCTTTTTAAATAGGTGAGCAAGTAGAGCAGGTATTTTGCATAACATTTAAGACACCTGCATCCCTTAGCAGGGTGCCTGGATTTGCGCCTTGGCTCTGCTCCTGATTCCAGCTTTCTGCTAATAATGTGTACTCTGTGATGCAACAGTGATGGTTCAAATAGTTGGGTTTCTACTGCCCGTGTGGGAGACTCAAACTGAGTTCTGGTTCCTGGCTTCAGCCTGGCCAAGTCCTGGCTATTGTGGCATTTGGAGAGTAAACAAGCAGATGGGATCTCTCTCTCTCTCAAATAAATACACATATTTTTTTAAAGTATAGTATTAAGTAATCATTAGTAGCATGAGAAACTAGTCACCGTTAAGTGAAAAAAGCAAGTATCAGCCTATCTATTTGTATATATGTAGGCATACATACACAATATTTGCATATAAATATAAGTGATATGAATACTATTTAATTCAAATCCAAGTAATCTCACTATTGATGGAATTATCTGTGGTTTTTATTTTCACATTTAGCTTTACTCTATTTTCCAAATTTTCTAGATAAACTGACATTGTTTGGGAATTTAGGAAAGAAGTAATATGCTTGTTTTTTGGTTGGTGGTAGAAATGGCCACATTTTTGTTCTTCATTTCTGGAAGAATTCTCAATTATCTCCTTTGCTCATGTCAGATTTTCCTTCCTTTTATGACAAATATTTTCTAGACACATTCATCAATCAACAAATCTAGAGGAATAGCAGCAAAATATCCGGAGCAGCCTCTTTGCCCCCAAAACGATCCTATTTTAGATTTCTGCGTCTACACCTTTCCTGGCCATACTTTGCAGCTCAGGGGCCTATCTTATTCTCAGCCCTCCACAAGAAACACCTTCTACTTCTTGAAATCTTGATCCTCCCTCAAGACCAGGCTCAAATGCTTCCCTCCTGCTGCCAATGTCTACATTTTTCAAAGGCCCATACCAGCTGATTCTGCCCATGGCATTTACCTTTCATGCCCTTTACTGTTATTGGAATCTTGCCAAAGACTAGTGAAGAACTTGAGAAACTGGAGAATGAGTATCCCCTCTGCAAAGGATAGCTCTTGCCTTTCTCCCTAGGAGTAATGTTGGGCCTTCTAATATATCAAGAAAAGCAACAAATTCTTATACAATTATGTAAAAGCTCCCAGGTTTTAAATAATATATCTTTAAAGAACACATTGTCTAGACCAAACCAAAAACAAACAAACAAAAAACCCACTCTATTGACTGAATCTTGCTCTGCACTCCCTTATAACCTAGCTGAGAGGTTTGCTCAGAATGATCTGCACCTAATATGCACTCAACTGTGGAAGCCACCCACTTGATGGGTCCTTCATAATGGGATTCACATCAAAGATCCAGCATCCAACGTTAATGTTTCAGCAGTTGTTTTGATTCTGAGTTTTTTTCCAAAGAGCCTTCCGAAGGTAGTATAGAGAATTTTTTTCTCTATGACCTAAAACAAGAACTTGTTTCCTGTACTTAGTACTAACCCACGAGCACTGTCAGCACTCAATAAATAATAAATCATAGTCATTTAATTACAGCTTTTATGCATCCAGGTCATGTTATATTGACTTCATATTTGTAGTCAAATATTCTACCACTTAAGAGGAAAACAGCAAGGAATACAAGGCAAGCAAAAGTCAAGCAATGGTCTAAGAAAGAAATGGCAATTTTTATGTCTGCCTCAGAAGAGCTGAATCAGGCAAAGAAAATAGAAATGAAACCCTGCCAGCTGAATACCTCATAGCAAGGAATGGGAAAGCAACATTATAGCATTATAGCATCCTGGATCTATAGCATTACCTCACCGTTGTTCACCAAAGAGCATTACCTAACTGCTTTTGGCTCATTTGAGGAGGCACTTTCAGTGAGGGTGATAGAGATGACCTAATATAGGCATCATCCTTAGTTAGATGGTCATAGACTTCAGCTTGAAGTCTTGAAAACACCTTGAAGGCAACACTTGTCTTCAGACAAAAGAGCATGGGATAGAAGGGAAATCAACTATAAGGGATATTCTTACAATGGCGAAAAAAGTACCACTGTTGACTCAAGAATACAGTGCTAGAACTGACTCTCTGGATCACCCCTGGAAGGAGACAGAGTTCTGTCAACAGACAGTGCTGCCTTGATGGTGTTAAAATGTGAAGGGTCTGTACGTTGTGATTTAATGCTATAACTAGTACTCAAACAGTATTTTTCACTTTGTGTTTCTGTGTGGGTGCAAACTGCTGAAATCTTTACTTAATATATACTAAATTGATCTTCTGTATATAAAGAGAATTGCAAATGAATCTTGATGTAAATGGAGAGGGAGTGGGAGATGGGAGGGAAGTTATGGGGGGAGGGGGAAGCCATTGTAATCCATAAGCTGTACTTTAGAAATTATAATCATTAAATAAAAGTTAAAAAAAATAAAATAACATGTGAAGGTTCAACATTCAATCAACCAGTCAACATGTCATGTGACTGGCATCAAATAACAGAGGTCAGAGGCCTCTGTTCACATAGAACTTTCCTTCTAACAGAGTATAAAATAATAAGCACCATTTCTAAAATAAGATGTCAAATAGTTGTACATCTTATGAACAAAACAGAATGTTTAAACAGAGAATGGCTTATGGGCTACAAGCATTGGGGAGCCTCAGGGTGGAATCAGTCATGCCAAGTTCTAGGCCAGCAGCACCCCTTGGGAGAGAAATGGCTAAGATCATCTTACCTTTGAGTTTAAAACAGAAGTCCAGGTCTATAGACTTTACAAAAAAACTGCAAAAGTGCTAGTGGATGCTCTCAAAGAGAAAGAAAAGCATCAGACCATATAGGGTATTGGTGGTCCCTGGAAGTGATTCGGAAGCCACTGGAAGATTTTAAGCAAATGAGTACAATCAATCCCCTAGATCATATTCCTTGGGATGACTGGAGCCAATCTCATTTGCAAAAGAAGGACAGGGCAGTGTGGTGATGCGGTAGAGCTCACAGTAACATGCGCTCTGCTGCTGCTCTCAAACTTTGTGAGAGGTTGTAGGGTGCAGCACAAAGGAACAGTAAGTGATGGGGGCTGGCATTATAACATAGCGGGTAAAAGCTGCTGCCTGCAGTGTCAGTATCCCATATGGGCACCAGTTCATATCCTAGCTGCACCACTTTCAATCCAGCTCCTGCTGATGGCTGGGAAAGCAGCAGAAGATGGTCCAAGTGCTTGGGCCCCTACCCACATGGGAGACCTGTAAGAGGCTTCTGGCTCCTGGCTCTTGGGCCAGCCCCACTCATTACAGCCATCTGGGGAGTGATGGAAGATCTCTCCCTCTATGTAACGCTTTCAAATAAATAAATAAGTCTTTTTTAACAGATTTATTTATTTATTTGAGAGGAAGAGTTATAGAGAGAGGGAGAGATAGAGAGAAGTCTTCCATCTGCTGGACTCCCCAAAAGCCCGCAACTACCAGAGCTGCACCGATCGGAAGCCAGGAGCCAGGAGCTTCTTCTAGGTCTCCCACGTGGGTGCAGGGGCCCCAGCACTTGGGCTATTTTCTACTGCTTTTTACAGGCCATTAGCAGAGAGCTGGATCTGAAGAGGAGCAGCAGAAAACAAACCGGTGTCCATATAGGATGCTGGCACTGCAGGCGGAGATTCAACTTACTACGCCACAGCGCTGGCCCCAATAAGTAAGTCTTTAATAAAAAGAAAAGCAAGTGATTAATTCAGTGCTGGTGGAATTCACAGAAGCCTGAACCATTGTTTCAGGAATAGAAGCCACTCTTGTAAGACTCAGGCTCCCACTACTTGCCAGAGCCCTTTCAGTCAACCTGGCCTTCCTTGAAATTTCCACGGTCCCTTCCTCATGCCTCTGTCAAGTTCTTGTTAGTCTGAAGGCTTTATAAAATAATCATCATATTTACCAAGTCATTTCATCCCCTAGTCTACTGCACAGTGACTGGCATATGATAGTTTCTCAAGAGTTTAGTGGAATTCAAAGAATACACAATTGATACCTCCCATCCAGCCCACATCTAGAAATTCCAGCAAGCTCATCGGGTCAACCTATAAGATCGAGATTTACTGAGCCCAACATTTTCAATGACAGGTTGAAATTATCCATCCTGTGCTAATTTTACTAGAATATTTTAAGTTGTGATACTCATGTCTGACCTCTTCTGAATTACTGGTTTTTATTTATTGGTATCTAAAACAAAGATCCCACCCACTCAGTTTGAGAGTATCCTTTTTCTTGCAAAGTGAGTATAAACGTTGAATCACAGGGGAAAAGTTTAAAAGGAGAAAAATTAATATCATACTTACATATCCATATTCCAAATCCCAGCACCAGCAGTAATTGCAAAATCTCACAAAACATGCCCTGAGAAAGTCCCCGATGAGGATGGTGACGTAAGTGGTCAGGACATCAGAAACTGTCAGTCGCACAAATTCCTATTGACATATTATGTGAATTAAAACACACATTTCTGTTTTCAAATTGTCTTACTGTTGTCAATAGATCTGTCACGTGTCTAACAACATTTTGGCTTAAAGACTAGAATTACTGGTAGAAGAAAAAAACAAAAAGGCATACCTAGTAAATGAAAAATGCTTCACGCCTGTTTTATTATTGTGAAAGTAATTACTAATCATTTCCAAACCACTGTATCAAAATCTTCTCACTCAGAAACGTTTACAAGCATGACACAGTTTTTTTTTTTTTAAGGCAGTATTAACATACAGAAATTACCTAACAGTGAATCGTATATTTTAAATGAGTGAAATGTTATGGTGTGTGAGTGACATCTCAGTAACTTGTCCTAACAGTTCTAAAATTCAGGGCAAGCCTTTGGCCTAGCAGTTAAGATGCCCTCACCCCATACCGGGGTCCTTGGGCTCCATACCTGGCTGCTACGTCTGCTTCCTGAAGATTCAGACCTTCGGAGGCACTAGTGATGGTGTCAGTGATTGGTCCCTCCAGTGAAAACTCCATTACATTCCAGGCTTCCAGCTTTGGCCTGGTCCACTCATGGACATTTGAGGAGTGAACTGATGCATTGGAGTGTGCTCTCGCTCTCTCTCAAAAATTTGTACAGTGTTAAATTCTACAACTTAATGGGAAAAAATAAGTTTTTTTTTAAAAAATTTCAAAAGGGGGTACATGGTATGAACCCTTGTGTTAAGAAAACACTCTGTGTATGTGTGTGTATATATATGTATGTGTGTGTATGCATAATATGCATATGAAAGGTCTAGGAAATTAGAGACTGATTATTTGAGTGATGTGGCCTTGAATTTATGTGCAAGGTGTGTGTGGTTTGAGTTAAAAGTTTGCTATTTCCTCATAGACATATCATAACAATAGTAAATGAATATAAGAATAGACATACAAATGCAATTCAAAAACCTCATGGAAATGAATTTAAAAGATAAATTTATTTTGGTGCAAATGAAACTTTGAAATCCATGCATAATACTTTCATAACACACATTTTTCATGGATTTTTGAAAACTGCATACATTTTCATCAATATAGTTCAGTTCTCTTTGCTGTTCTCTTACCAATAACTTGAGCCCTAGGACAGACAACACTGAATATCTAATAAGATACATTTTCCAGAAACATTAGTGTTCTTCCACGATACGAAAAGTCTTCTGGTTTTTATTTCTAGCTCCCTATGAGAAACCTTCAAAATGTTCATGAAAATACTTACTATGAAAAGCTATGTTTGGACTTCAAATATTGTACACCAAAATAACCTGGTCTTTTAATTTCACTTTCCCATTAACTCGCTAAATTCCCTCATGCATACTTGCTCCTCTAATATAGCTGGTGAATTAGCCCAGAGGGCAAAGAATCATTTGTCAAGCAGTGGTTAGGTGAATTTCCAGCTCCTGCTTCCTAAATGCCAGGCAGTCGGGAACCACTTTCATGATCCTTGCAAAGTCCAAATACATCTGAAGTATTAGTCATATGATATTTCTTTTAGCTTATTTGAAGAAAATGACTGCTACTTTGTAAAGAGAATGTGTATAACACCTGCCACAAATAGAAGTTAACTGGAATGTAAATATAATAAAACAAATGAAATATTAAAAACTGAAAAATATAAGCTTTTAAAAGTTGCCTTGGAGCCGGCGCTGTGGTGCAGCAGGTTAAAGCCCTGGCCTGAAGCGCTGGCATCCCATGTGGGTGCCGGTTCTAGTCCCAGTTTCTCCTCTTCCAATCCAACTCTCTTCTATGGCCTGGGAAAGCAGTAGAAGATGGCCCAAGTCCTTGGGCCTCTGCACCCATGTGGGAGACCTGGAAGAGGCTCCTGGCTCTTGGCTTCTGGCTTCGGATCGGCGCAGCTCCGGCCGTTGGCGGCCATCTGGGGAGTGATCCAGCAGATGGAAGACCTCTCTTTCTCTCTCTCTCTCTCTCTCTCTCTCTGCCTCGCCTCTCTGTGTAACTTACTTTCGAGTAAATAAATAATTTTTTTTTAATTTTTTGACAGGCAGAGTGATAGAGAGAGACAGAGAGAAAGGTCTTCCTTTGCCGTTGGTTCACCCTCCAATGGCCGCCGCGGCTGGAGCGCTGCGGCCGGAGCACCACGCTGATCCGATGGCAGGAGCCAGGTGCTTCTCCTGGTCTCCCATGGGGTGCAGGGCCCAAGCACTTGGGCCATCCTCCACTGCACTCCCGGGCCACAGCAGAGAGCTGGCCTGGAAGAGGGGCAACCAGGACAGAATCCGGCACCCCGACCGGGACCAGAACCCGTTGTGCCGGCGCTGCAAGGCAGAGGATTAGTCTAGTGAGCTGCGGCACCGGCCAGTAAATAAATAAATCTTTTTAAAAAAAAAGTTGCCTCCTGAAGTGAAATGGACACTATGAGAAATGGTGACTTGATCAGCATAGCCCTGACTGCTAATGGACAACTTAATACATTATCCCTCATAGTATTTTTTTTTTTTGTCTGTTCTACTTAATATGACTGGTTTAATTCTGTAATTATCACACAGTTATTCTTAAGTGTTGAAAATTAACTGAAATGTGATCCCTGTTAAACATAAGAGTGGGAATAAGAGAGGGAAGAGATGTATAATTTGGGGCATGCTCGGGCTGACTTGCCCCAATTGGTAGAGTTGGAAACATACCAGGGGATTCCAATTCAATCCCATCAAGGTGGCATGTGCCAATGCCATCTCACTACTCCAAGTGATCAATTTCAGTTCACAATTGATCATAATGAAAGGACTAAGAGTCAAAGGGAGCACATAAACAAGTCTAGTATCTGCTAACACCAACCGATAGAATAAATAAAGGGGAGAGTGATCCAACATGGGAAGTGAGATACTCAGCAGACTCATAGAATGGCGGATGTCCTAAATAGCACTCTGGCCTCAGAATCAGCCCTAAAGGCACTCGGATCTGGCTGAAAAGCCCATGAGAGTATTTCAGGCATGGAAAGCCAAGACACTCTGGCAAAAAGATCTCTGTGAGTGAGATCCCAGTGGAAAGAACAGGTCTTCAAAGAGGGAGGTGCCTTTCTCTGAAGGGAGGAGAGAACCTCCACTTTGACTATGACCGTGTCTAAACAAGATAAGAGTCGGAGAACTCAAGGGGCTTCCATAGCCTTGGAAACTCATAACTGGTGCATAGGGAGATTACTGATGCCATAAACAGGAGTGTCAATTGGTAAAGTCAACAACAGGAGTCACTGTGCACTTACTCCTCATGTAGGATCTCTGTCCTTAATGTGCTGTACACTGAGGCTTAATGCTATAACGAGTACTCAAACAGTATATTTCACTTTGTGTTTCTATGGGGGTGCAAACGACTGAAATCTTTCCTTAATGTACACTAAACTGATCTTCTGTAAAACACAAATAGAAAAGAAAGAAAGAAATTATCAATTCCCAACTTGACTCTCACTGGGATTAAACATGACAATAGGTCTGATCTGATTTCATCATCATTTAAAAAAAATCATCTATTATTTTTCACTTTATGTTTCTGTGTGGGAGCAAACTGTTGAAATACTTACTTAAGGTATACTAAGCTGATCTTCTGTATATTAAGATAATCGAAAATGAATCTTGATGTGAATGGAAGGGGAGAGGGAGTGGGAAAGGGGAGGGTTGTGGGTGGGAGGGACGGTATGGGGGGGGAAGCCATTGTAACACATGAGTCGTACTTTGGAAATTTATATTCATTAAATAAAAGATAAAAAAAAATAAAGTATATGCTCACAAAAAAAAAAAAAAGTTGCCTTAGCGTTAGTTTCCACCAAAAGTGGCACCTGTCCATAGTATATTTTGGAAATGATCTTAAAGAACAGGAATGAGGAGTGGGTATTTAGAGCAGTGGTTTAGATGCTTCTTAGACACCTAGATTGTATATCAGAGTGCCTGGGTTCAGGTCTTGCCTTCACTTCCAATCCAGGTTCCTATTAATGTGCACCCCAGCATGCAGCAGATGATGAAATCAAGTACTCGAGTTTCTGCCACCCACACAGGAGACCAAGGTGGAGTTCCAGGCTCCTGGCTTTGGCCTGGCTGAACCCTGGCTGTTGTGAGCATTTGGAAAATGAATCAATGGTGGCAGACATAGATAAAAATATAGATAGATAGATGGATAGATAGATATAGATTATAGATATAGCTATATAGATATAGATAGGTATATATGCATACACTTATATACACAAATATGTATATATGCTTTTCAAATAAATAAAAATACATCCATTCATGTTGAAAAATAAAACAAGACTGGGAAATAGGGAGAATAAAAAAGGAAAGGAAGAAAAGCCTTCCTCCCAGGATGTATTAACAATTGTCCCTGCAGGAGCAAGTGCGTCTTGGTCCTTCTGATGCTCCATATTTTTTTTTTTTACAGGCAGAGTGGACAGGGAGAGAGAGAGACAGAGAGAAAGGTCTTCCTTCTGTTGGTTCACCCCCCAAATGGCCACTATGGCTGGCATGCTGTGCCGATCTGAAGCCAGAAGCCAGGTGCTTCCTCCTGGTCTCCCATGCGGGTGCAGAGCCCAAGCACTTGGGCCATCCTCCACTGCCTTCCCCGGCCACAGCAGAGAGCTGGACTGGAAGAGGAGCAACTGGGACTAGAACCCAGAGCCCATATGGGATGCCGGCGCAGCAGGCGGAGGATTAACCAAGTGAGCATGGCACTGGCCCCCACATTTTTCCCTTATAGTGCTTTGTTGCCACAGTATATTTGCAATTTTTGTGTATTTATTTAATTAATAGCTCACCCCAGCCTCCAATAGACTAATTTTTACAAGAACAGAGAACTGGTAAATAGTTGTTTCCCACTGTGTATCTAGCATTTATTTTTTTTTAATTTTTATTTTTTATTTTATTTTATTTATTTATTTATTTATTTTGACAGGCAGAGTGGACAGTGAGAGAGAGAGAGACAGAGAGAAAGGTCTTCCTTTGCTGTTGGTTCA